GGTAGTCATCGGGTTAAGCTATTTAGAGGAAACAATTGTGGTTTTTTTCTTATAATTTGTAGTCATTCTATAATGAAAGAAGCATAATTTATATCTATTTCCTAATTGTTTATGTTGGTTACGAGGTTGGTCAAGTCGACCAAACCCATACAAAGATATGATAGTGAAAATAACAGATAAAATATAAAGTTTTTTCTCAAAGAAAAACGTTTGATAATTATCTAGATGTTACAGATATTTTGCATGTGAAATTTGACAATTTTCTGATGCATAAAAGTATTTTTAATCTAAAAATCAAAATTACATTGCATATTAGATAGTCAATCCGAAAAGAAAAAATGCACAAGAAAATTATTACTTAAAAAAGTCTTAAACTTAATATAACAGTCATATTTTGTGCATAAAAGCCTTTTAATATTTACTGATCTGCAAAATTTTGTGAAGATATGCATACTGTATCGCAAGTTATAATATGAAAACTATAACAAGCACAAAATGGTTACAAGGTCAGTCCCTGGGACTGAGCCTGTAGTGAGAGAGTTAAACTACATGCACATGTGTCTCCTCCAATAAAAATTGTAGGACCAACAGAATCTTTCTCAGGATCCATTCTCCTCAGTTGTGTGCATTCCTTCTCATTTTTCCAAGATCTTGGTAGCTTGACTATGCTAACACCACAGTCAGTATCACCTTGCTAATCTCTTCTCCCAACCAGATCTCCATCTCTTCACAGCTATTTCTCTCTCATGCTGGGATGCGTCTCTGAACGACTAAATGAATTTGGATATGTGGGCTTTGAAGGATCATTCACTCCATAACACTGTCCTTGAACTTCTTGCTGTTCATCAGGTGGGTTCCCATTTCCTCCCTCTTCCTGTAGTTTAGTTGGTAATGATGCACTCCAACAGTTTCATAGGGATTTCTTATATCAACCATCAGGGGGGGTACCCATTTGAGCCATTAGCTTCATGTTCATTATGACATCTTTCGCTGATTATATATTTCATTCTCCATTTGCTAGTGATCATAGTTGTTTGAATGTATATGCCATTGATGCTTCTCACTCTCTCTTTCACCATACTTACTTCCTACCCAGACCGAACATTTCTTGTTAAGGCTGCATCTGTTCAGATTGGAGTTTATTCTTTCACATTTTGTCACAGCAGATTTGTCAGCTGTCTCACTCTTGCATCTTGTTTTCACTAACCATTTGACAAGGACCTACAGACTGACATGTGAATGAAATCACACACATTTGTCTCCCCACTATCTTCATCATTTGGCTGTTTTGACCCCCTTCATTTGCTGTTATTCAATAAAACTACATACCAACTTTGAGAAGGATAAGTACATTTTCTTTTACAATATCCTCTTTTCATTCTCTTCCTTCTTATAGAATCTCACCAGATAGCTGGTGTTGCCTCCCATGGTATGTTTATTTCCCAAAAATTACATTGGGCCAGGGGTAATGGAAAGCACTCAACTCATCTGCCCTGGCTCTACCAGTGCTCACTGATGAGATGAGGTGTCCGTCAAGACCACTAGAGGTATCCTCATGGTATCAAAATTACTCATTTGCCTGATCCAGACCGTATCTTCCATGGACTATCATGGAAAAATCTAGCACAAGGGAAGTGGCTGCCCACTTCTTTGGCTCACACTTACTGCTTTTTAGAAATAGGGTTTTGCTGTTACCCATTGCACTGGCTCCAGTAAAAGACCTTTCTAGCAGGTGTCTTGTGGAGATCTATGCGCTTCTTCAGGCCTCCCCAATGCATTTTCTCTTGTCTTCCTTTCTCTACAAGTGGAGCATGGGAGACCATTACCAGTTATCAGTTCCTAGCTGCTGGGATGATGAACCTTGGAGAGTTCCTTAGTGATTGTGTACAGCACAATATGGAGGGATGTGGTGACACTGCCTTGTAGTGTGGATCATCCCTGAAATAGTTAGCATGCCCTCCTCCTCCTGCAGCAGGACAAGTTCACCACCCCCATCTTTGTCTGTCTAGTTGAGTCATGGTCAGACACACATTGTACAGATTGGATTGACCCCTAATCACACTATAATCCTTGTCTTGCTGACCACTTGTGTGCGGGTGCTTGTTCGTCATGCAAACATTCTGCCCATCCCTGCAACATTGCATCTCCCTCTTTTTCATCTAGGTGAAAAGTATACCGTGGTCCTGGCAAAATGTGTTCTCCCACAGGTGTGCTGCAATGTAGCCTCTGCCATCATGTCTAACACTACCTGAGCTTTCCCTTTGGACACTTTCTGAAGGGACCTCATCTAGGGTTAAAGTTTGCACCAGTCCTCCCACCATTTCAATGTGGGATCCTAGTTATTATGTTTGTAGAAGTGTGGTATTGTCTTGAAAGATAACATTTTCCTTACCCGATAATATATTTCAAATAGATACTCACCTATATACACTTTCCCACCTGACCTCCCACTTCTGGTGTACTTTCTTCTTGCCTCATCTAAGAATGAAGTTATTTAGAGAGCAAGTGTTTAGAGCAGAGCTACTGTGCATGGAGATTGTGTCACCCTCCTGTTATTGGAGGGCTGTCATCAAGCACTAGCACAGTTCGTGTTAAACACATGATTTTTAGGTGGGAGTTAGCTCAAGGCTAATGGCATCCAAATCTTGTCGGCAGATGTGTGAGGGGTCAAGCTATTATGTGGAAAGAGGTATTTAACAGAAGTACATTTTTAGATAAGGAAAATGTTAAATTTATGTATAAATAACTGCCCATTGTAGATGCTTTCGTCCTTTCAAGTTGCTTGTTTCCAAAGGTTTTACGTGTTCATTTCAATGTAATGTGTTTTAAGTTGCTTTATAGCTTTTAGTTAACTATTTGAAGTTTTATAAGTGATTATAGCAGATGTTTTTCATTTAGGATTAGTAAAAGTGAAAGTGAATCATCAGATATGGACTCTTTTATTGAACCCAGATGTCAATTTATGAGGAGTTTAACAGGTAAACAGTTCTTTATTTTAAAAAGTTGTTACATTTTTTTCAGTTTCATTAACAAAAACTTACTACATTAAGGTCAACTTTATAAGACTTTTTTTCCCGTGCTTCAGCTTCTGTCAGTTATTTCATTAAATCTTGCTTTTCTTCATAAGACAAAATGTTAGTGTTAAGTGAGAATTTGGTATTTCATGAGCTTTAAACTCGCCTATGTATGTGTTGTAGTTATTTTTTGTTACTTGAAAATTTTTGTTGAAAGTCTTGTGTTACTCTTATGATATTTTCAGTGTTTGTTGCTTGAACACTAGATAATATAATACTTATCTAATCTATATTAGCATTGAACTGTATGACATCAACCCTGTGTTCACAGGTGAGGGTTGAAATGAGCATGTCACAACTTTTACAGAGTTGCATTCAAAATTGAATTAAATAACTATTATTAATGTATGACAATAAACTTGGCATCAAAACATAGTTTATAATTTCAGTTTGAATATTATATTAGTTTTGATTTATTCATTTAAAAAACAAATATTTAAATATATTTTTAATCTTCACTTCTTTGTATCAAGTGGTGCCTCTGTTTTGAATTCTCTGTTTTAGATTTTCTTTCTTCTGTAATATGGGGTTCAGAATTTAAAATAAGAATCTTGCAAATTCTTTATTTTTTAAAATATCAATCACAGAAGCTTGTTCCAACTCTTCGTGCTATTTACTAATGCTTACTGTCAATATACATGTTTATAACCAATCAAAAGGCCATTTTGTGAACTACATCATTTTGTTAATTTATTTCAGTAAAAAGTTCCATTTCCAAAACACATTTTATTGGAGCAATGACTACAGTTTTTAGGCATTCTGTTTTAATGTTTGAATTATTTTTTTGTGTTTTAAAATGTGTATTTGAAAGCTACTTGAATTATCTTGTGGACAACCAATTTAGTGCTAATGAAGAATGACTTCTAAAAGCAAAAAGCTTCATATATGAAGTAAGTGTAAACTCTTTATTTTTTATGTATAATTTTTATTTATTGATATATATTTTTTATAAAAGTAACTAAAACATGAAAGTCAAAAATTTATTAGGTTAGATAAAAGAAACTTAAATTTAAAAAAAAAATGATTTTTTTTTGCCCTGCGGTATGCTTGAGGAGCATAAGTAGTTAGATGTGTTGTGTGATGTAACCTGAAATTTTGTTTAATCTAAATTCTCTGCACTCCTATTGGATGATCTACTGCTATTTGTGGTAGTTAGACGTGGTTCAAAGAGCAATAAAACAATAGAATTAAATTATAATAGATGTAAACTGTTACAAGCCTGAGACTGTTTATGATAAATAATTTTAATTTTGTGTTACAATCTGCAATCATTCTAGAAAGAAATTAATGGCAGTTTGGGTTTATTTCATATATTTTTAATGGTGGTTACATGGTTGGTCAAATGGGCCAAGCCCATTTGGTGTTACAGTTAAGAAAATGACAGATAATATATAAAGTTTTACTGTAAAAAACTTCTGATATTCATTTAGGAGATTTTATAGTTTATGCAAATAAAATTTAAAAACTTTCACCTTGCACCAGAATAGTCATTCTCAATCAGACTGACTAAAGTAAATTCAGAAACAAATCTTTAGTGGAAATACTTTGTTAATCATCCTTAGTTTTTTGTACAATGTACTTGTAATGTTTACTAAAAGCTTACCAAATATCATGAAGATACATTATGTAAATTCTGAATTATAGTAAACATAAATTCTCCAATACCAGCTCGATCCAATAGACTGACCACTTACAGATAGGGTTAAACTTGTAGTTGATACATTTCTCTTGTAAATAGAGTTAGTTATAAGAATATAATTGTCAGTGTTTATGGTATAATAAGTGTTTGAAGTTGAAAGAGATTTCTGTGTGTTGCACAGGTTTTGTTTCTTAAAAATGTTTGATATATTTACAGATGACTCAATGAATTCAAGCTTTTCATCACCCAGGTCTATAAAAAGTAATGAAAAAAAAACGAGGTACGATTTGTATGATTAATACTTTCTCTATAACTTACAATTTAAAACATTTTCAACTTGTTCGTGGTTAAAGATGTACAATAGCAAATTTTGGCTTAAAATTGTCCATTTTCCCCATGCAAAAGAGAATTTAGAAGTGATTATGTTGAAGACTGTTGATAGAAGCAACCTGGAAAACATTTATTTATTCCAGCTAGTATCTTTAATCAGAAGTTTAAAATATAAAAACAAGATTTTTTTTCTAACCTTAGCTTTTACCAGACTTATTCCAACAGCATAATACCATTATAACAGTCTCAACCTATGGGTACCATTAAACTGAGCATTCTAGTTTCAAACTGTATTAGTTACATGTAAGCAGTTTGTAATTTATGATCATTAAATATTAAACTAAATGTATATGCTTTAGGTTTCAGGTTCAAGCCCTTTTTCCAAATACTGTCACAACTTAATTTTCATGCTGTTTATGAGTATGGTTGAATATTATTTTTCTTGAGTTATCCAATTAAAAAATATAATCCAAAAGTGAACATTATTGAAATATTCCTTACATTCTTATTTTAGTAAATTTCTTTTGTGTAGGAAAATAATTTTGCTGTTGAAGATTGATTTATATATATAAGCATTTAAAAAATATTACACTTTAAGCCACAGAGGTGTGACTTGCACAATGTTAGTTTCATACAGATTACTTTTGTTTGCATGTGTGATGGTTGTAAATGCAAATTAGTTTACAGTATTTTCTTTGAATCACTTTTTATGAAAGAAAAAGTAAGTTATTCTTTTGCTGTGAAACACAAATTGTAATTTTCTTTATCACTACTTAACCCTAAAACTATGAGCCAATCAGATATAATTTTTCATGCTTTGGTGACAACTTTGAAAAAGAAAATACCTCTAGACCAGTTTCTCATTTAAAAGTTTGCATAAGTTTAGTTTAATCTCTTACTTTAAAAAGTGCAATGAAACTCCCAAAATGTTATTTTGGTGTTGATGAAAAGTCTTCCCAAAGCAAGGCTACTGTTGATTATAGCCATTTCATTTTAAAATTGAATTGCTTACAATATTTTCACAAAATCTAGGACACGCTGCACACTTAGTAGAAACAATAATAAATGTTTTTCAACTTTTCCTTTTGTTGGTTTGAGTTCATCAGTCACATCTAAGTCTGTCAATCACTAAATTTGGAAATCTTTACAATGAGAAGAATAAAGTATAATATTTTACTATCCATTTTGCTTAGCAGTTTTATTGTCCTCTTTTCATTAATGTTTTGGATGACCTGTCTTTCTAATCAATTTAACTTCAACAGGAATACCATCATGTTTGTATTCACAACATTTGCATTTCATACCAACAGCATACCTTCCACTTGCAACTGAGTCTACGGTAAACATCAGAAATCTGAGCAAGCAATTTGATTTTTTTGAAATTAGTTTATCTTGAACAACTGTTAATAAAACGTACATCAAAAAGAAAATTCGAAGTCTTAACATTTCAGCTATAATTTTATTTTGGAGGTAATCTAAGTGTATAGATCATGCATAATTCTTCAAAATTTGACATAATAATTTTGTCCTTGTAAAACCCTATATACTGGGCTGGAAAGGGTGAAGTTGAATATAAAAATCACATTAATTGTCCACTTGTGAAACAAAACTTAGTACAAATAGAACAGTGAATTAATGTAGTTCAACAGGAAATAGATCCTCAAAATTTGAACTGAAAACTGAAATGACTACTTGTGAATTAAACCTAAAAATTCCAATTTTATTTTCCAATAGAAAAAACTAAAATTTTCTTGGCCAAATAAACTTCAGTTTGCTATGTTTTAAATTTGAGGTCTCCATGATGCTTTAGTATCACTAGCATGAAGAAAGCCAGAGTATGTGGCAACAAAAGAATAATAAAGAGCTCAAAATAAGTATTGAATGAATGAAGAAATACAACAGGAAGTCTATGGGGATAAAGTGTATTTTGAGGATAATAGTTTGTAAAATTGGGGAATTTAAGCTTCTGACAAAGAATGTTTTCTTTTTGTTTACTCAAGACTTAGCTTTACATGCATCATTCATCAATAAGTGTTGTTTTTGTTATTGTTTTTTTTTATTAAAAAAAATATTTAGCCTCTGTTATTTTCAGTCACATCAGGCTTAGTTATAACTATATATACACGTTCCAAAGAAATGCTTATTATTATGGAAAATAATTTGCTTACTTGTCAGCCAAATATACAGAAAATGTTACGGAGAGAGTTCTTAAGGCATAATTTTGTTGTTAGGGCCAGTTTGTTTTTTAAGTATAATTTAGTTTGATGTGCTTTTTGTGCACCTTTGTTACTCTTGAAACATCTAAGTTAGAACTTCTTAGAGATGAAAGACCATTTACAGGGTGATGAAAGACTTGAACATAAAGTTTGAAAGATTAAAAGTTAGTATATATTATTAAAATGTACGTGTAATAATGCATAGAAAATGGAAGTGAATAAATTGGTATGCTTTTTATTTTCCACAAAAGTGTATAAATGATAAATAAGGCTTGCCATTAAGTATGAAAAAAAGATGATGCATCCACATTACCAATTCCCTTTACAATCTTAAACACTTTCGTCAGATCCCTTCTAACTCTTCTTTTCAAGAGAAAAGAATTTCCAAAATCATAATATTTCCTCATTTGACAACAGCGCCATCCCAGGCACTTTTGTAGTAATCCTCCTCTGAACCCTTTCCAACAATTCAATGTCCTTCCTAAGGTAAGGAGCCCAAAATTGAACAGAATACTTCAACAGTGGCCTAAACAGTGACCTATACAATGAAATTATAACCTCTTTAGACTTTTATTCAATATTTCTGTAGATACAACCTAAAATCCTATTTGCCCTACCACTAACAACAGCACACTGCTTGGATGGTATAAGAGAATGATCAACCATCACATCAAGACCCCTTTTCTTTTAAGACACTATTAAGGTTATTCCCATCCAATTTTTACTTATAATTCAAATTATGATAGCCTACATGCATTATCTGTCATTTATTATAATTAGATCCAATCTGCCATTTATTTATCCAACTCACTGAATTATCTAAATCCTTTTGTAAAATAGCAGTGTCCTCTTCACAGCTAGCAACACGCAAAATTTTAATATCATCAGCAATTTTATGTAACTTATTGATCACTCTTTCATCAACTCCATATACAACAACCCTCTGCTTTCTTCCATCCTACCATTCTTCTATCCAATTAGCTAACTTATTCTCCACACCTATACAGATAACCTTTTTCAAGTCTTTTATGTGGCACCTTGTCAAATACTTTCTAAAAATCCAGATACACTAAATCTTCACATTTACCCTCATTTAAATAAGCAGTAACCTTTCCAAAAGAATGTCAAAAGACTTTTAAGGCAAAATTTTCCTTTAGTGAAATGATGTTGACTGTCCAATAAAATTCTAAACTTTGTTAAATGACTTTGTAAAGCACCTTTAATCAGACTTACTGAAACTTTTCCCACAACTGATGTAAGACAATTTTTACTACCTTCCTTGAAAAGATGATATTTAAGCAGAATAGATGGAAACAAGGCCAAACAATATGAATGCATTAATTCTGAGCTTGTTCAGAAAAAATTGGGAAGTCAAAAAACATTAATGCTCCTGGGCCAGATATAATATTTTCCCAAGGTTTTTGAAAGAGGTTAAGGATTGGATATGTGAGCCACTTTCTACAATTTTTTTGCAAGTCCTTAAATAGTGGGCATGTGCCAGAGGATTGTAAGTTAGCTAATGCCACTTCATTAGTAAAAACTGATTAAAATTCAGAATTTAATAATCCAGCCATCTCGTAATAATCAGATACTGTCAAGGTTTTGTATATGGGCTTGGATTCTTTACAGTAGGTGTCTGTGACTTGTTGGAGATAAACTCGAAGAATAAACAGACAACACACAATCCACTTGTTTTGAAATAATATATGTTAAAACAAGTTATAAGTATGTACAAAAATTCTTTACACTATAGGATATCACAGTTGTATCTAAAACTCTAAATAATTATCTTTTCTTGTCATAAGTCCACAAAGGCTGATTCAGTTACTTTATAATCCAATTGACATGATGAATTATTTTCCTCTACTCTGTTTCTTAATATACAATCTGTGATAAATTCACTAACGTTACCCTGTGGGTTACCACATTTGCCTCCAGAACTTTAAATATTCGTCTTCTTTTCATAAAAGTCCACTCAGATGGGTTCAATTACTTAAACACTCTTTGTCAGGACAACTTATTCTCCTCTGTTAAACTGTGAAACTCACTTTAACTCTCTGAACATGGTCTTGGTAAATTATACCAACCACGCAACCTCTTTGTACTCGTTTAAAGTCTTTATAGACTTAATACATCTAACTTTCAATATAGTGTGTATATCTTTACAAAATTTGGCAGTCTTTCAGTGAACATTACAAATTTTTCACTTACAAAAAAACTATATTTTTAGTGAAGTATTTTTAACAAACTAAAATAAAGATTTGACCACGAATATATAAAGTATTTGTTTTGAATAGGCCATGTGCAAAGTAATTTTCATGTTAAGATTAAAAATACTTTTCTTCATTTCATAAATCTCAAATTTCCTTTGTGTAATTCCTAAAACCTCCTAAATACACTTTAAATGTCTTTTTTCAGAAGAATTTTATAGTTTGTGTTATTTTCTCAATCCTATCTCTATACAGGATCGGTCAATTTGACTGACATCATAACCACCAAAAACAAAAATTGACATAAATTTAAATTACCCTTTCTTTTTTTTCTAAATTACTTCAAATTGTAACGTGAAACTACATCTACTTATAATTAAATTTTATTGTTTTATTGCCCTTTTGATAGCTCTTTGAACTACGTCTAACTACTATTCGTGCCATTTTAAATTGTAAATCACACGGGGAATGTACAGCCCACATTATGCTATCAAATTACATTACCCACAAGCTGCTCGCATCTG